GTTGGTTGCATAGATTATGGTAAATTGGGAATGTTGACAGGAAGCCAAAGTATTACACTTTCAAATGAGCTCAAACTGAAATTCAAGACTACAATAGTGTATTATTAAGCCAGTCCTGACAAACAGAAAACGCATACTGTACTTGTGAATGTGTACTACAGAAAAAGATAACAGAAACGTTCTCACACAGGGAGCCACTGCTATGGAGCTTTACTGCAAGACTTTTCAGTCACAGCTGATATATAAACTGCTGATTGCATATGTTAAAATATAAGCCATGTGAGACTTTTCTTTTCCCCCAAATCATTTCATCTACTGCCACCACCAGGGCTGATAAAGAAAAGACCAAATGGTACAACATAACACAGACACATGACAATCTGCTGTGACACAGTCAAAACATTTGAGCTCTTAGAATCACACACTTACAGTACAGTCAATTAATACCACTGCATTATTGACATTCTTCTGGGCTTGATTTACACTACTGTTTAAAGCTTTGGGGTCGGTACGATTTAAGGCTTTTGAAAGTCTCTTATGTTCACCAATGCTGCATTTATATGATCAAATATACAGTAAAAAACGTTATATTGTGAAATATTATTACAATTTAAAATCACCATTTTCTTTTTGATTACATTCTAAATGTAATTTATTCACATGATGGCAAAGCTGAATTTTCAGCAACCATTAATCCAGTCTTCAGTGTAACATTGAATCTTCAGAAATCATCCTAATATGTTGGTTTGGTGCTCAGGAAACACGTTGTTTTTATTATTATTATTATTAATGTTGAAAAAAAGTTTGCTGCCTCCTGGCAGGATTTTTGGATGAATAGAAAGTTCAAAAGAAATAGAAATAGAAAACGTTTGTAACAGTATAAATGCCTTTACTGTCACTTGATCAAAAAGGAATATTACTGACCCCTTTCAACAAATTATCTGTTTACCTGATTCACCTTAATCAAGTTTTTAAAACTCATTAAAAAAAAGTTATTGTTTGTGAGTCAAATTTAATTCCTTCAAAGAAATAGTACTCAAATTAAATTATAAAATTATAGAATTGGTTATATATTTAAAATGTGATTTTAAAATTAATAAATAGCTACAAATTAACTACTTTTTAGTAGCAGCTTGTAAAATAGCTTTTTTTATGTAGCTTGACAGTAGTTAAAATATTTGAAACCAAGCTATTATTTAAAGCAGCTTCCCCGAAACCTTGAGGTCTGGATCATACAAAGCATCAAAATCGGTTCTGAGAAGCAAACATCTCCATCAGACTGGGCAGAACCAGCAAACCTGTTGCTTAGCAAGATGTGTTGCACTAGCGCTGCTGACTAAAGGAGAAAAAGGGTAGGAGTGTAGAGACAGTAAGAACAAGAGGGAGAGAAAGGAATAAAAAAAGATCAGGGATAACTGTCATGATTCCAAGCATCAGTCGCCACCACCCGCAGGTGAGTGCATCAGATAACACAAGTGCCAATGCCAGCGACACTGCACCTCAGCAAAAACAACAAGGGCACACACACACACAAACATACAGACAGCCATCACAGCTCCAGTGTGCCTGTTAGCAGGGGGATTTATTCTCTACATACGGTGCCGGGTGGTTTGAGGGAGCTCGGAGCTGATCACAGAGGATCCGAAAACAACATCCGTCCACTTTCACACTTCAGTGGAAGAGGTGGCCCCTCCCGGCAGGGCTGCGTAGTCTTGCCATCTGGAGAATAAATCGAGTGTGAAGTACAGTATAGTTTGGGACCAAGCTCCGTGGCGGCAGCTCAGCAGTCAGTTCATTAGTTCCAAACTTCCAGGGATTGGAGCTGGGAGGGGGGCAGTGCGGAGCGAGGCTGCCACAGAGAGAAAGAGGAGGCGGGCAGGGAAGAAGAGGGGGGAAAAGGAGGCGTTGAGTGGAATGCCCCAAACTGAGCCGCAGTCTATAGGGCATCTCTGCCACAAAAAACACAAATAAACAAACGCCCCCGGAGCGAAAAAAGACAGGTGTAGCCATCAGCCCCTGCTGGAGGAGAGAAAAGGACGACTTCCCACCCCTGCTTATGAGTAAGGAGAGATATTTTTAAATACTAAGTGTGTGCTAGTGTGTGAGTGTGAGTTAAGCCTTGGTCCTGAGTGGCAGTGGCAGTCACTGAGTAGTCTGAACCGTCTGTCACATGGCACCAAGCGGGCAGGACAGGGTAAAGATTGGCACAGGTTTGCTATGGGGGGGGGTGGGGAGAGCACAACAATGATGCTTATGGCACACAGACAAGATCCAATCATCAATTTAAAACAAACAAACAAACACTTTCAGCATTTTCATTCTATGAAATCATCCTCATTTATCAATGTACAGCATACACATGCCATGTGTTGTGTTTCCAACACAATTCAACAGTGTTTTTTATAAAAGGACAACAACAACAACAACAATATGAAAAGGAACTAAAAGACTTTGAAATGTTCCAAAATCTAGCGAGCTGCCTTGCTGCCTACTAAGGAACCTCATAAGGGACTAATTCAGAACGCTCTACCTAGGCAGCAACTCTTTTTGGCATTCAAATAGTGCTCTGCACGGAACACTAAATTGACAGCTGATTTCTGTTGAGTCTGACGTTAGCATGTTGCTAAGACAGAACAGAACAATACTATAAAAAGACAAACAGAACAATACTCTAAAAAGCATAAAATACATACTACACTCAAATATTGGGTACAAATATATCCACAAAAAAAATGGAAAGGTTCAGTATTGAATGAAATTAAATTTTAAGTAGGTTTTGGAACAGAGCATGTGTAGTATTCAGTAAAACATTAGTTCATTTAAGTTCAAACTTCATCAAAAGAATCAGAATAAACAATTCTTTCACCAGTTAAAGGGACAGTTTAATCAAAATTAAAACTTAAATTATCATTAACTTACACTCGTGTTGTTCCAAACCTGCAGGTTCTCTTCTGAGAACAGAAAATTGTATTTATTTATTTTTCGGCAACAGGGTCATATCTTTCAAATATCTGTTTTAATGTTCCACATAAAAAAAGAAAGTCATTTCGTTTTGGAACAACATGAGGGTGAATTAATGACAATTTTCATTTTTTGGCTGAGCTATTCTTTAAACTTTGTTCACTATCCAATCTGTAGGCTCTCAGCATATTAATTGAGAATTAAAATGGTTTGATGCTGGAGCTGTGTCCTTGTTGCTAAAGCATATGCCCTGGTACATTAAGCTATGGTTCTTATATCGGGCATGAGAGTTTGAATCTAGCATTTCCATCTCTCTAGTTATTATTTCCTATTCCATCTTCATTCTCTTCTCAATAAAATGTAACAAAAGGCCCAAATGTGTAATAATTTTAATTCAAAATATTACAAAATTAAAAATTTAAAGATTCTATCAATGATCAGCAATACAAAACTGAATAATTGTATACAAACCTGAATAATTTTAAATAATGACACAATCTGAATGCGTTTGAGCACTGAAGTATTACAGGAAGACCTTGGTTAAATCAGTGCCTCAATGAAAAAAAGTCCTCAGAACCTGTGCATGTGTACAGTATGCGTTCCTTTTCCGTCCTCCTCACCGGCCCATAAAAGAGTAACCGAGCTGCGGGAATAGTTTCATTTAGTGTCATAAAAAAACAAAACATCTATCTATAGGTATACACAAACCCCCATGGATTTCCAATTGCCAGGATGGGGAAAACAGCTGAGAGTGTGGGAAGTGAAAGAGCGGGTGCAGAGGAGCGAAGTGTGTTTTATTATTGAGTTAATAACTAATTTTTACATTACGCAGTTGTGTGCTAGCAAATAAATAATGGATCACAGCTTTCCCTGTACCATGCCAGGCTCTTTAAAGTTAACATATGGTCTTTAAAATTGACTGCGTCTTGTACGAAGGATTGTAAGTGCTTTTAGTCTTGACAGATTTATACCATCAAAAAGCCGAGGAGCAATGGGATTATTTCTAAGGCTCTTCTCAAAGTACATTGTTATTTTTCGAGAGTGAGTTATTAGCATTTTTATCAGGGAGACTACAGAGAGCATTAATTCTATCAGCCCTGACAGGAACATGAGCTAGCGAAAAGAAACCCGCTCAGCTCAGAGAGGGGACCTGAGACCCTTCTCTAATGCCATATTCTCCCCTCTCAGATCACCTAGTATTAATATTCCTCAACAAAATAATCCTATCTGGGCAGAACCCCACAGAAGAACTGAATTTTGGCTCAACAATCTTATCTTTTTATACTTCTCATTTTAGAGCAATGTTAACGTTGATATATGTCAGTATGCTGACACAGTAACAATGGCATGTTTTTATCCTTTGAGCACATTTTTGACACTTAAAGGCCGTCAAAGATGGATCAAGTTGTAACTAAAGCTCTGAAACAACACAAAAGACATGAAAGCAGTAAGCCAGCTTTAGTGGATGCTTTCTTGAAACCTTCTCCCCCACTTGGTTGTGATAAAGAAATTAGTGGGTGTTGGAAAACATTGGGATCCATCACCTTTTTTTAGGGGTCACAGTTTAGGCTGTCAGTCAAAGTTTTTCCCACTCAAGCAGGAATAGCCTCTGGCCAAATCAATCATCTTTATTAACATGACTTAAAAACCTTTGTTAGCTGACTTCTTTCCACCGGTTCTCCTTTTAGCTCCTGCTCCAATCACGGTTTCATGGAGAGGTAAACAGGGCCAATTGGCTGGCTGTGTGGGCGGGTCGAGAATGCTTTTAACCTGCAGCATCTGCTGAAGTCCTGCTGTTTGCTCAGTGTGAAGTGGGCACCTTGTTTCAAGTGAATGTGATAGGGGGGCATTTTTGCCTTTATTGGCACATAATGGGACGGAAATGTGCTTGTTTTAGGCATTGCGCTTAGGTAGCTTTCTTTGGAGTGATTAAGGATCAGCACCTGGCTAAAAGAGAGCTTTAAATGATGAGGATTTTGTGATTATGTCTCACAGAGCCAGGTGTTGGGTGAAGAATGAAAGGTTAGGGTGGTCGGTACCTTCTTGTTGAGGGCGACTCCATCCTCACAGTCCAGAACGGCGCAGTCCACGTCCAGCGAAGTCAGCTTCTGCAGTTTTCTCTCGTCGTTGCCGGGAACATACAGCACGGCGCGACGTGGTATGTACTTCAGAGAGGTGCCAGGAGTATGATGGGAACGCTGGCTAGACTGACACCAGGGAACCGCAGACAAAAGTAGACGACTGATCCCCCTAAGAAAATTCAAGATTTGATGATGTATGAATATAGGTCAATGATGTTAATTTTATGTCTCATCTATTAATTTACATTAAAAACACAGACACAGAATCACTTGAATACAACTTGTCTATTATAAGCATGCTTTTCATTTCTGTATTTAATTTTGATATAATTCATTAAAAAAAAATGTTCCATTTAATTTCATCATACAACTGTCCTAATATCAAAATGAATAAAAAGGTCTAATGAAAAGAAGGAAATTCTTGAAAAGAAATCTTTAGCATAATGTTAGTTATTTCTTAAAAAAAAACACTGTTATTAATATTTGAAAACTGTCTGCCACCTAAAATCATGTGGTTCAACCAACATGTAGGAAAAAATAAATAAACAGGAAATAATATCATACAGAGGACACCTGTAGACCCTCATGACTGTGTGTCAGGGTCAATAAGCATCTTAAAATAGCAGATAATTTGACGTTTTACAACAAGGCAAGGTTAGTTTAGTTTGTAAAATCATTTGGTGCTACACAAACACAATGATATTTATGAATAAATAATTCATGATAAAAAAAAAACATTTTACTATATATATATATATATATATATATATATATATTACCTTAACAGAATAAAAAAATGAATAAAATAAAAAAAAAACTTTTTGAGAATGTTGCATGTATTTACGTATTACATTGCATTTAACCAAAATAGGTCATTACTTTTTACTTTATAGTTAAACCAGATGACATTTTAGAGTCATTAAACTTAAGCCTTTCTTGAAAATAGTATTTCAAAACCATATTTTATAGATCTGTTGTAGCCATCCATTTGTTTGCTGATCTTTCTTTATGCCTGCACACTAGGGGTGTGCGATATTGACAAAAAATTATATCTCGATATTTTCTAATGTCAAATCGCACATCGTTAAAACAACAATTACGATATTATCGCAGACGATATATATCGCACACCCCTACTGCACACATGTATATAAAAACACCTCTGGCTAATCTCAAGTACTTAGCCTGAACTTCAATTTCCCTTCCCAATCTTTACAAACTGAAGAAACAAGGTTTGTTTTCCTTTCAGTCCTCTAATGGATAAGCACTGCTGACCTGAGGCTGTTATCTCCGACAACATCAGAGCAAACGTTTCTTCTCTAATGCTAATTCACAATGGCTTAGCAAGCACAGCTGAATAAATCTATTTAGGGCCAAGCCAGTGTGATGTGAAAGAGACTTGGGAGAGATTACATACCCCAACACAACAAAGTTAAGACAAGACCACAAATCTTTCTGGTAAATGACTTTTAGAAGCTGTCAGATTTCTGTTCCCCTGTGTCAGGGCTAATAGAGGTGTGCGTTTATGGCTTAATTTCCACATTTTATCACACACTAATAACCACCGTTATGGCTCAGACACGTTTTAATTGTTTTTTTTCGGTATGTCAGGGTGTTCAAACAATTAGCGTTAATAAATGCGCCAAATAATTGGTATCACATACAACTAATTACAGCCGGGAACAGTCTTTGCCTGTCGGTTCCTTGCGATTGCACATGAAGGGACCGTATTAGTTGACTGTATTCCTTTCCGC